AACGGGCAATGGAGGAATTAGGTGGAAGTGAGGTCAAAATAACAAAGGATGGCCAAAGACACCTAGGCGCAGTAATTGGCATGACGGACTTCAAGACCGTGTATGTAACGGGAAAGGTGAATGAATGGGTTAGGGAAATCCAAGCTCTGTCTCAGATTGCTAACACAGAGCCACACGCGGCATTCACCCATGGAGTCAAGGATCGCTGGAACTACCTGATGCGCACTATCCCTGATATCTGATCCCTCGTCAACCCTCTGGAAGAAGCTATCAGCGTCAATTTCATTCCCAAATTAGTGAAACACCCTCACTTAACCCCAGCAGAAAGATCACTCCTTGCACTACCAACGAGGCTGGGAGGAATGGGATTGACCAATCCAGAGGAGATCACTGCCACCGAACATCAAAACTCAGTTAAGCTCACGGCAGCCCTCGCGGACCACATAATAGCTCAAAACGCAACAGGGGAGGTGGATACCTGTGATGTAAACAAGATTCGAAGGTCCATTACGACAGAACGACAGCACGGCCAAAGTGATTAGTTGCAGCAACTGTTGCTGCAAGTACCAGAGAATTTGAAAAAAAGTAGCTATAGCGCAGGAGGTGGGCGCCTCGAACTGGTTAACTACGTTACCGATAAGGGCAAATGGTTTCAGTCTCAATAAACAAGAATTTACAGGTGACAATGCTCTAAGGTATGGTAGGCCAGTAGAAGGTTTGCCCTCCCAATGCTTGTGTGGCTCTTCCTATGACGTCGATCACGCTATGGTGTGCAAGAAAGGGGGCTTCATATGCCTGAGGCATGACGAAGTAAGGGATCTCAGAGCAAATATGTTGAAGGAAATTTGCCGTGATATCAGGGTAGAACCGACCCTCCTTCCAGTGGACGGTGAGAATTTCCAACATTGGACTTCAAACACATCCAACGACGCCCGTGTTGACTTCATTGCTCGAGGATTCTGGACGCACGTCATCGCAACTTAGCTCTCGATGCTGCACACAGGAGGAACGAGAACGAGAAGATAAGGGCATACGGGGAGAGAATCCAGAACGTTGATCAAGGCATCTTCACTCCTCTAGTGTTCACAACCTCTGGTGGGATGGGACCAAGTGCAAGATGCTTCTACGCCAGACTCGCGGTGGTGCTATCTGAACAGAAGGAGCAGCCCAGAATTTATGTCCTTCTCTCTCCTTAGGTCGGCTTTGCTCTGCCTCAGGGGAACGAGAGCATCGGCCCCAAAGCCGACAACAGTTGCAGATATTGACTATGAGACAACAGTCACTGAATGCCGCATAGATCTGTGGCTCAACTAACTCAACACAGCTAGGATAGGTACTTATGTATTAGGATATTTAATTTTAAGGTAATAAAATGGCGGCGAAGGTGTGGCTATAGGGGGAGGATGGAGGCCAATAAAAAAAAAGTAGTAGTAGAAGTAGTCATAGTAGTAGTGTGTGTTTGTGTGTGTGGTAGCGTGTGAGAGAGAGGTAGTGTCAGAGAGTGTTAAGGTGCGCAAAAGAGAGAGAATATCCTAGCATATGTTTATCATACCAGGAACACATAACCTACAAAAATTACCCTCAATTCTTAGCAACGCGTCATTTGGAACTCTTTCTTCTGTTGCGGTGCCTTAGTCTCTGTTGAAGATATGGCTCACTCCATTGGCGTTAAGGATGTGAAACAAAAATAGAAATATCAGTCAACAGTTGACCCCTGAGGCGCTGTCCATTATAGAGTGTTTTATTCATCAGTGATTGACGAGCATGGTGACGAGCTGGTCGTCTATCAGAGTGAGGTACGAGCGAGCTCTTCCCCGATAGCCCATTCCCAGCTTTTTCCACGCCCCTAATAACCAGTCTCTCATTAATTTAATCTCTTGTCCTTGAGCAGTCATGGACATATGCAATAATCGATTTTTGGACTAAGGGTTCAGTGTCATTGCCTCCCGTGCTTGCGGGTAGTACTGTCCGAGCAAAAAAAAAAACTTGGACCTTAAACACAGCTACAGTATGAACTTTGAATGTGAGAACTTTATATGAGGATAGGAAGTTTGTAAATTTTTGTTGGAAAAGGGAAAAGGTTGCAGTGGGACATTCTGGGATTAAGTGAAGCTATGGACAGTTTAAAGTAGCATTATTTATGAAGAATTTTACTTTATATGTTGACCAATAGTGTAATGGGCTAACGGCCAGTATCAGATACGGTTTTGTTAGTTACGTTTAAGGTTAAACGAATATCCTTGGTTTATGCACCAACAAATGAGAGTGAGGGCGAAATTTTTTAAAAGTTGTATGAAGATTGAAGGATTAAGTGATACTGTAAAGTTAAATAATTGTCTGATTGCAATAGGCGATTTTAACGCAAAGGTGGAAGGGGTAAAGGGGCACCAGAAGTAAGACCAAAATTATCAATACATGGTTCACACATCACCCGAGGCATCTTTATACATGGAACTCACCCCAGGACAACGTAAATAAAGGTGTCAGGAATCAAATAGATTACATTTTAATTCAGAAAACATTCAGAAGTTAAGTAATCCGAACCAAGATCCAAGGGGAGACTGTGGATCAGACTGTCCCAGTAATGAGTTTAACTTCGAAATTTAAAAAGAAAAACAATGGTCAGATTCAAATTAGAGTTAGGAAAAGCTCGAAACAAGGGCAGGGATAGATTGAAAAATTGAAACTCAATACATTTTAATTATTGCTTAAAGAAGGTTTTGATGAACAAGAAATAGAACAAAAGTGGAATTATTTCAACGAAACAATACTAAAGAAGTAGAGAAACTTATATAACATATTACATCGGAGGAACGAGGCTGAAAGTGAGTGGATATCAATTGAAATTTAAAGGTGAATGGATAGACGAAGAAAGATGATAAAGAGGAAGTGAGGCTTACCAAAAACTTAAAAAATAAATAAATAATCGACTGTAGACAGGCTAAAGAAAATTCTCTAATTAAGATATGAAGGGAGATAGAAAACAATGACAGGAGAAAGAACTGTAGAGAAATGTATAAAGAGGTTAGAAAAATGAACCAGAGAAGAGAATTAAATTGAGTGGGACTATTAATACCAAAGACAATAGGATCCTATTTCAAGAAGAAGTAAAAGAGAGATGATCAGAATGTCTAGAAAGTTATACAATGATAAGGATAGTGAGGAGGTATGAAACAAAAAGGGGAAATAAAGATCGAACTACCAATTCTGGAAACAGAAGTTGAGGCAGCTGTGAGCAAAACGAAAAATGATAAAGCTTATGGGGTTAATCAGCTTTCAGCAGAATTTATAAAACCAACGGGCAAGAGTGGATCAATGATTGATGAAAGATTTAACTATATACTGTATACTATAATTCAAAAGACACTTTCCCAATGATATAAAAAATATTTGTGCTCTTACCTATAAAGCCAGGAGCCTTGAGTGCACCCAGTTCAGGACAGTTAGCCTAATAATTCATGCCTGCAAAGCTTTTTAAACATAATTTGAAGTGGAATAGAATTTAGAATAGACAGTAACTTATCTGAAAATCAAAATAGATTTATAAAAGCAAAGGAACTAGAGAAGCTTTATTTGGTTTGAGAATTTTGAGTGAAGGGGCTTTAGAGGTCCCCCCAAATTTTTAAATCTGAATTGTTGATTTTGAAAAACCTTTGATGGAGTAAACGACAATGAATTTATAGAAGTCTTGGAAAAAAATAGTCAACAACGAAGGATACATTGGAAATCTAAAATTTTCCACTGACAACAGGAGGCTGCAGTGTTAGTAAATGATGGATTCGCTAATTGGTTCAAGTTAGACAAGGAGTAAGACAAGGATGTGTTCTATCTCCAACATTGTATAATATACTGTATAATCAGAATTCCTAATGACAGAAGTTCTAAATAACAACGCTATCTATGCTAAAATAATAGAATAGATGGTGAAGAGGCGTTACAAAAACTGGTAAATAGGTCAGTACTCAGTAGAAAAGCAAAAAAATATGGGTTAGGAATTAACGCTGTAAAGACGAAAGTACAGTAACAGTTGTTTCCTGATTAGAAATAAACGATAAAATGGTAGGAAACAGGAATCCTGAGAAACTGTTTTTTTTTTATTTACGAAGTAACATTAGCTGTGATTGTATTGGTGTAAAATAATTCAGCACAAAAATCTAACAAGCAAAAACCAATATTTCTAATCTAAAAGACCTAACAAGAAGGGACATTAACATCAATTTGAGAAAAAAGGCTCTGCTAAAACGGACTGTATGATGAGAACATTTGTATGGTCAGAAGCGTGTACCACTTTCATGCGGTCACCAGATGCCGATAAGAGGCTTTTGAAATGTGGGGCTACAGGAGAATATTAATGCTAATTCACACTAACATGAAAACAAACAAAGAAATACTAAGATTGGCAAACACTTCAAAACAAATAATTAAAATTTATGTACTAAGGAAAGTAAGAAACTTTGGTCATATAATTAGTGATGAGGGGATAATAGCAGAAAAATTAATGGGCAAAGTTAAGGGTAGGAGGGCCAGAGGAAGGCACAGACAGGTATGGATGAACGAAATAGAAAACTGGGTCCCCAAAGAGACATGCTTGGAGGATTGGTAAAAACATCTTATAAAAGTTTATAGTGGAGGATAGTGGTCGCCAAGCTTCAGATATGAGAACATACTTTTGATAGATTCATTGATCCATCAACAGCAGAATACAGTCACCCCCTTGTTTTAAGAAATAGAAGTGGCTTGTGGTGTAATGGTCAGCATAAAATGGTCAGCGAGCGGACTCGGGTTCGATCCCCGGGCAGGGTGAATCAATGGGCAAGTTTCTTTTCGCCATTTGTTTCTGTCTACCCAACAGTATTCCTCGTATTCCGAGGTAATGGTTAGCCAGTATTCAACATTATCATTAAACCAGTTGCACAGCAACTGGTTTAATGACAATGTTGAATACTTACAATAATAAAAAAAGCTTTTGGAATAATTGCTCAATGGAATTCATCCGGCAGAAGAGAATGTAAGCGGAAAAGAAGGCACAGGAGAGCCCCTGGAGCTACAACAACAACAACATCGGCAGCAGATAGAGCAACAACAGCAGGAAGAGCAGGACCAGCAGGAAGACACCCAGCAAGATGATACCCAAAAGGATGACTTGGACCGCAGCATGATCCCAGCTGCTGAAGCTAACAGCTGGAACAAGGCCTCCTCCCCACGTCTCCACCTCTACCAACCACGTCAGTAAAAAATCTCTTATTACTATCAATCCTTAACACTACCAAGTCCACCCACTATCACCACCATCATGACCACTGGTCCTAACACTACCAAGTCCACCCACTATCACCACCATCACACAAATGGTCCTAACACTACCAAGTCCACCCACTATCACCACCATCACACAACTGGTCCTAACACTACCAAGTCCACCCACTATAACCACCATCACACAACTGGTCCTAACACTACCAAGTCCACCCACTATCACCACCATCACACAACTGGTCCTAACACTACCAAGTCCACCCACTATAACCACCATCATGACCACTGGTCCTAACTCTATTACCACCACTGTTCCTAACACCACCAACACGACTGTTCCTAACACTACCACCATCACTGTTCCTAACACTACCACCATCACTGTTCCTGACACTACCACCATCACTGTTCCTAACACTACCACCACCACTGCTCCTAACACTACCACCATCACTGCTCCTAACACTACCACCACCACTGCTCCTAACACTACCACCATTAATGCTCCTAACACTTTTTTTTTAAATGGCCTCTAGCCTCCCCCAATAGCCATTCCTTCGCCACCATTTTATTACCTTATTATTAAATAGCCTAATACATAAGTAGCTATCATAGCTGTGTTGAGTTAGTTGAGCTACAGATCTATGTAGCATTCAGTGACTGTAGCCTCATAGTCAATATCTGCAACTGTTGTCGGCTTTGGGGCCGATGCTCTCGTTCCCCTGAGGCACAGCAAAGCCGACCAAAGGAGAGAGAAGGACAGATGACATCTCATCCAGGCTGTAACATAACTTCTGGGCTGCTGCTTCTGTTCGGATACCACCTCCGCGAGTATGGCGTAGAAGCATCTTGCACTTGGTCCCATCCCACCAGAGTTTGTGAACACGAGAGGAGTGAAGCTGCCTTGATCAACGTTCTGAATTCTCTCCCCGTATTCCCTTATCTTGTCGTTCTCGTTCCTCCTGTGTGCAGCATCGAGAGCTAAATTATGGTGACATGCGGCCATGGGATCAAAAAATCTGATTTCGAAGAATGCTCGGTGTCCCTGTATCCAGAATCCTCGAGCACTGACGTCAACACTGGCTTCGTTGGATGTGTTTGAAGTCCTATGATGGAGAATCTCACCGTCCAATGGCAGGAGGGTCGGTTCTACCCTGACATCACGGCAGATTTCCTTCAACATATTTGCTGTGAGATCCCTTATTTCGTCATGCCTCATGCATATGAACCCCCTTTCTTGCACACCATGGCGTGATCGACGTCATAGGAAGAGCCACACACGCATTGGGAGGGCAAACCTTCTATTGGCCTACCGTACCTTAGAGCATTGGCATCTGTAAATTCTTGTTTATTGAGACTAAACCATTTGCCCTTATCGGTAACGTAGTTGACCAGTTCGAGGTGCCCACCTCCTGCTCTATAGCTACTTTTGTTTTCAAATTCTCTGGTACTTACAGCAACAGTTGCTGCAACTTATTACTTTGGCTGTGCTGTCGTTCTGTCGTAATGGACCTTCGAATCTTGTTTACTTCACTGGTATCCACCTCCTCTGTTGCGTTCTGAGCTATTATGTGGTCATTGAGGGCTGCTGTGAGCTTAACTGAGTTTTGATGTTCGGTAGCAGCAATCTCCTCTGGATTGGTCAATCCCATTCCTCCCAGTCTCGGTGGTAGTGCAAGGAGTGATCTTTCTGCTGGGGTTATGTGTTTCACTAATTTGGGAATGAAATTGACACTGATAGCTGCTTCCAGAGGGTGGGGGAGGGGTTCGATATCAGGGATAGTGTGCATCAGGTAGTTCCAGCGATAATCGACTCCATGGGTGAATGCCACAAAAGCCGCATGTGGCTCTGCGTTAGCAATCTCAGACAAGGGTTGGATTTCCCTAACCCACACATTCACCTTTCCCGTTACTTACTCAGTCTTGAAGTCCGTCGTGCCGATTACTGCACCTAGGTGTCTTTGGCCATCCTTTGTTATTTCGACCTTACTTCCACCGAACACCTCCATTGCCCGTTCATAATGTTCTGGCTTCACACTGAGGAAGGACTTGCTGGCGTTTGGGTGGTACCCTACTTGTGGACCACATGATGTTACCAGGTCCCACCATTTTTTGATGTCCTCCCCTTTTCCTGCTCCTGTAAGGTCATCAGCATACGCCACTTGCTTGACCTCAGTTGTTTCAAATTTTATTGTGTGTTTGAGCACGGATAGGCCTATTGCGTACATTGTCATTGTAACATGGTCCCCCTGCGTTGTTCCCTCATTTGACTGTATGATGGTATCACCTCTTAGAGTCTTGTTGTTTACTATATAGAGGTCTGATGGATTCCTATAGGAGTTTTCAACATACATTGCAAAGCTTGGACGCTTGATCTTGATGTTGTGCAGTGCGACCTTGCGGTTAAGTATGTTGAATGCTTTGGAAGCGTCCACCAGGAGAACGGCCTCACACTCGCGCTGCTCAAATATCGTTCTCATGGCGTGAATGGCAGCTTCCCCTCCAGCCTGGTGGCCAGCACATACTTGCAGGTTCCCTGATGCTGCCCTGACATCATCCTTTACTACCTCCATTATGCATTTTCTGATGATCCGCCTCAGCACTTCCGCCACCCCTCTAGGCCTACATCCTGGAATCTTATCCAGAGGAATGAGGCGGCAGGCCGTCAGAGCATGGAGGTGTTGGCAGCACGAGGATGCCAGCTTTCTTGCATTTTTTTTTTTGCACCCCCCTACATCCTTGTGTAAGGTGAAGCGCAGAAGCGTTTACAGCTCCCAACAGGGAAGCATGCTAAGTTCATGCTTGCCTGTATGTCTCACGTGTTAAGGGCGTAGAAGCCTGAGGAGTCAAGGGCGTAGAAGCCTGAAGAGTCAGTGGCTTATGTCATCAAGTTATTGGAAGCTCCAACAACTCCCTGAATACGAATTCGCAACTTTCGACTTACAACAGGTACCTACTTTACTGCTAGGTGAACAGGGACTAATGGGGGCTAGGAAGTAAGTGCAAACAACTTCCACCGGCCCGGGAATCAAACCCGTGATATCTCGCTAGCGAGGCAAGAACGGTACCGCTTCTACCACCGGTCCCGCCTTTCTTGCAATGACGGCAATAGCAGTGCAGAGATCACTTGCTGCGGGGCCAAACTTGTTAGTGCTGAGGAATGACTCTCCAACCGTTTGCATCCAGACCTGAAGGGCCGGCACCTCCCTGAGTCGTCAGTGCCTTTTTCGACACAATCCCTCCTGTTATTTTCTCGAACAGGACAGCGTTTGGTGGGATATAGTCACCCTGGAACCTGATGCCTTCGTCTTCACTTGCAGGGGGATGTTTTTCTTTCAATAGGTTTAATGTCTCTCTGTTTATTGGCAGAACCCCACCGGAGGATTTCTCTGTGAGAGATCTTACCACCAAAGACACTTTTCCCTCACGCATTTTGTTTCCAAACTTTCTTGCAACGTCATCGGTGTTTTGCTTTCCGTCTCCTATAAATTTTAGTCTCTCCTGCAGTGTTCTTGCTTCACATAGGAGATCATCAAGGGCCTCTGCCACATTGTCAATCTTCTCTTCATTGCTGCCGCATTTTCTTTGTGCAGAGTCTTTGTGTGTGTCCTCTGACAGAATAGATGTGGTATTATTGCCAGTATTTGAAGAGCCAAATGGGCAAGGAAGCAGTCCTGAGTGGACTCAGTTATGAGTCGAATCATCTCCCGAATCATTTCTTTGGTGGCCGCACACTTGGGTGGTTCAAAAAGGTTAGCTGGCGATCACCTGACACTTTCTGAGTAAGTTTCTTTAACCCATATTTATGCATTTCCATAGACATGCCATTTCACTGTGGTAGCTATCTCTCAATCACCTCGTGGATATCTGCTACTATTGGAGCAGCGTTTATTAATACTACATTTTCAGGTTGAGTAGACTTACTACTGTCATTTAGAATAACATAGGGCGGTTGGGTCCCGGCGATATCCACTGTGGCCTCCTGTGTCGGCTCCCTGCCATATAGGTTTCGACAATTGTTTTCCTTTCTGCAAACCACACATGTTCGGTTGTTTCTCGCACATTCACAGCTAGCTCAATTTTGGTACTGGCTAGCACAGACGCAGCAATGTCTGCTACCCGAAATAGTGTTCCGCACCTTAGGCGAAAGTTACGTCCGCCTCCGACATCTGCTTTGACCCCAAACAGAAGAAGAAACTAGTTCTTATGAGTAAAGGGCAGAAAGGTGACAGGCTGGACTGCTGTGTCCGGGTAGTAGGGACATACGTGCGCGCGTGGGTGTGTATGCAACCCCTGTGGGCGACAATTCACACATCAGAATGATACACTGGGAGCAAGAATTGTCATACCTAACAATTGTTTATATATCCTTGGCAGACGTAACCACTATTTCTATGGTCGCACTGATGTAATATTAGTTATATATACTCACTTGGTCGACCGACACTACTCGGAATCGAGTATGACGATTATTCAACAATGGTAAAATTATATGCCTTTTTAAGGATGTCACCTTCATTGGTGAGGTTTGAGGTGACTAAAGAGACCGATACGGGACCGGCAGGGTTTGTCCTCGGATGTTGCACGTGTGGGTGGTCTACGTATACTGTAGGGGCTGGAGGGCCGGTGACAGCATCTCTCCGGCGCTGGCGCTTGTTTGCCTCGGTATACAGTCGTGCTAACTCGAAAATATTGACATCTTCTTCTGTGGTGCTCCTTCAAGCATTGTAATATGGCGTACTCGTCTCCCAGGTGAGGGGGTCGATTTGGCACTTTTTCGGGTTTGTCTTAAGATTATCATTATACCTTTTCAGTTGCCCGTCAGCACTACGTTTAGTATTCGACAGGTGATTATAAAGTAGCTGCTTTGGCAGTCTACTGTCGTCCATGCAGGTAGCCTGTCCAGTCCAGCGTAGCTGTTCTTGGATAATGGTAGCCTCGATTTTCCTACAGTTGGTGTCACTGACAA